ACGAATTCCATTGTAATGCATTTTAATTTAAAAGTGCTTGCCATTATCATTTAGTAAAATAATTATAATGTATACAGTGTTTAATATTATTGACGTATTATTATTGTTTACCTTTGATTGCTTTTTAAATTTTTAATTAATCTAATAATATACTGTAGGTGAAAAAGTGCGAAAAACATTCGTGTTTGATTTGCTTTTTTCAGAGCAAACACAAGCGTTTAATTTAATTTTCGCCCTTTGAAATCGTTTTAAGAGCATCATCATTTTAAGCGATACAGATGATGTTCTTGAGTTGTATAGGCCTCACTTTTAAGTCAACATTTAAGCATTTGTCTCCCATAACCCTGCTAATGCTGCCACACAGTCCTGCTCCTGCCTTGTCCGTGTGCGTCGGTGTGTTGATGAAGATTACGTCAGCTGAAAAGTTATTGTTTTGCCAAAACATTCAGGAAGGCAACTAGAGACAGGAACCGGCTGGTGTAGGGGGACCGGAAGCTGCCATTTATATCCATATAGTTTGTGTCCTGCTGCGGGGCACTGACAAAAAAATAAGGAAAATGGAATACAGCACACAGGGCACAGGAAACGTGCGGCATGTGGGGCAAACTGTCGTCTTTCATTTCGGTTTTTCGGCTGTTCCCCAAATAGTTTTGGCATGAATTTTGTGTCCGAATCGAACCAAGGATGCCTCCCACCATGCCCCCAGGATGCTATTCTCTCTGAAAAAGCCTCTGGCCAAGCGTGAAAATGACCAGAAGAGCAACCCGAACATAAAACATTAAAAATAAATCCAAATTGTGGCCCAGCAGAAATTTTTTTTCTGGTTGGCCCCATTCCTTTACTTTTGTGAGTGAGACAATAGAAATTCAACATTAAATTACGTACATATACTGAGGAATAAAGGAATAAAAATGCCACTATTGCATATTTTGAGCCCGCAGACGCACACTGAAATTTTAAGAGATTAAATGAATTTGCAACTAGTCTCTGGGTCCCTCGTTGCAGTTGTCAAATCCTCTTTCCCGTAGCACCCTCTCAAAATTTCTGGGTGCATAGTTTTGGGTATTTTTTTTTTGTTCGGGCTTCTCGACCACATGGTGACATGCCAACCAACCAGCCAGCTAGCCAGGAAGTCGCTTCGATGAGAAAAGGAACTAGGGGCCAGGAGGGCGTGGCATGCAATTAGCCAGGCTGTCAACCAAAGTGTTTTCTGTTCCTGCCGCTCTCGCCCGCCATCGGTCCGTTTGCATTAGAATTGCTAATTGCCAAAAGTTTTCCAACTGCAACATTTCTTCTGCTGCTTGAATGCAATCCTCGTGCCCGACATCGCCATCAACGTCTGGAGATACATACATATATACGTAGATATTCATATGCATTTAGATATAGACATTTGTTTGAAGTTTCATTTGAATTCAAGAATTTCATTTTTCACCAGACCTGCAGCGTGTAAACACGCCTCAATATATATATATTTTATTTTCGTCAGATACTTGAGGGTCCAGAAAATAGAAATTTGGAGTCCGATTCCGATGCCCCAGCGACTGTCTGGAATGTTGTTACTTTTAATTCGATTAGTGGTAATATTTAAAGTTTTTCATTAAAGCAAAAGCCAATGCAGATGCAATTGGAAAGTTTTGCATAAGAAACGAAGGATAAATTGCCAATGCGGAATGGCCACTTCTCCTGTCACATGCCCCTTGCCCTCCACCCCTCCGAAGAATCCAAGGGGAAATGCTGCAAGCAAGAGACAAACTTTTCAATGGCACTCCTCGCTTCCTGTCTCTATTCCCAGGGCTGCCAATGTCTGGCCAATTTTTGTGTGTTTTGCCAGTCAACAACTTTGTTTATTATTTTGTTTCCTTTATTTTCATTTTTTGCAACTTTATGCGGCAACTTTTGGCCAAAAAAGGCGACTTCGTTGTGGGCGTGTCACAGCAGTTGTTGACTAAGAAGGGGAGGAAGAAGCAGCTGCATTGAAAGAAGAAGCACAGGACGGAATGGTAATATTTTCAACACAAGTCCAAAGGACACAAAGAGATAGAGGCAAGTGGCCAGGACACGCAAGGAGGTGGGCGCGAGGAAGCCGCAGCAATGAGCAACATTTTGCGTTGGAAATGGAAATGGAAAATGACAATGGAGCTATGGAAACTTGCCATTCATTCATTACTTAAAAGGGGAGTACACGAAAATGCCACAACTCTGTCTCGCAACTACAAGATACCTGATGGGGATGGCCACTTGAAAACTTTTAATGACTTTTCAAATGGCACTTGGAACCCTTTTATAATTAGGTCATCATGTACAGAATGTACAAATATTATTTATTTATGATATGCATCTTTTGATATGTACCCCAAAATAATATACCTCTTTGCATTATTAATACCCTGTATGAAAAACTACCAAATTTGCGAGGAATTCGCCACAGAAATCGTTACAGAAGTTTTATAAAAAACCAGGGTGAAGAAAAAGAGAAAACAGGAAGACAAAGAGAACGAAAAAGAAACAAATAAAATAAAATAAAAAAAACTTTATTTTTACAACTAATTGGCAAACTTAAATGTAAGATTTCATTTTATTTGTTGGCCGCGACATAGCTGTTTGAAGCTTCATTAAAAAATTACATTTTTTTAGCTGCCGGCGACAGGAGCACAAAGAGCCCAAAGGAACGGAATGAAGGAGAAACCGTTAAAAGGAGAAAAAAGGACGAGACAGTCGGCGAGTCCTTCTGCCTTGTGCTGTACGGCGAAGGCAATTTATGACCGACTGGCAATGAAAATATTTGCCACATAAATAAAAAGGAAACAAGCTCGTAGGGGACATTGACAGGCGATACGTGTGCGTTTGAGATCGGAGAGCAAGTACACTGAAAAAAACGGTCCAAATGGAAATTGGTTTGCTTTGGCTTCACCCTGAGTACCATCCCTATTTATTTTAAAATATTTTCGTGAAGTGTAGCACATGCCTCGAATGTCACTTACCTGGAAACTTGTACAGGGCCACCTCGTTGCAATTAATCTCAATCAGCGTGCTTGTCTCGTTGGGTAGTCCGGCGCACTGGCACATCGAGTTGAGTGGACAGGCGTAGAGGATGTCCTGCTGCTGGGAGCCGAGTAGGGCGGCGGAGCCCCTGCCTCCGGGCGACGGGGGCGGGCCTCGTCCCAGGGACCTGGCCGTGTTCCTGGGCCATCGTTGACCTCCGCCGTCGAACTGCCAGCAGTGGGATGAGCTCACCAGGCACGAGATCAGCACTATGTACAGGTGCATTCTGCAATGGTAGGTAAGCAAACAAGTTGCGGTTAAGACAGGTGCAAAGAACACAGATACAATCGCATAATCTAGTGGCCTTCTATGGAGGAGGGGAATTTTGTTCGCGAGAACGTTCCGTATTCGAGGAGCGTTGGCACACATAAATCCACCTGGTGGAGACACCTCTGGAGGCACCGGGAGAAGGCATTTGTTTATTTTCTGCTGCTTTGCATAAATCACACGTTTGGAAAGCGAAAGCAAATGAAATGGCATAAAATTAACGTTAGTCCACACGCATCAAAATTGCACAGTGACGCAAGAAACGTGAAACATTCTAATTAAAAAGTCTAATACAAAAAAGGTTTGTTTCATTAACAACGAAGTTTTATAACTAAACAGCTCATTTTGGAAAATAAAGTTTCATTATTATTAGGCTAAGTCTGCTGGGAAAGTCTGCTTTAAACTTCAACAAAAGTCTACATATTTGCCATTCGTGCTCATTCTGATAATTTCAAAATAAAGTTTATAATTTTTGGTGACATGGAGCCGACCTGAAGAAAACAATTAACTTGATTTAATTGTTTTCGTAAGACTTTTGAACCAATGTTGATATTTTAGCTTAAGCGACCCCCACCATCGCCTCCCGGGCATGCAGGCTCCAAACACGCCAAACGACAACGGAGGAAGTTTTCGACTAAAAGCCTGCGACAACTCATGCAAATGAGCCGCAGTCGTGTGACACAGGCCCCTTCTCGCCCTCCCCCAGGTCTCCCTCGGCTCTGCCTCCCGCGCCATGCAATCTTTCAAACACATGGAAATGCCTAGCCCCAAAAAATAGAAAGCGAGATGAGAGGAGCAGCAGAAGAAAGTGCGCAACCACAACACGTAGAACCCACCAGTAGTATAGCCAAGGAAGTCGCATATAAAACATGTTTCATGTACGCTAGATGTGTGATGTTTATTTGACACGCCAAAGTATATAATAACAAATAAAAACTTTCGGCTTTGCCACACAACACACCTCTCCATGCCTCCAGCAAGCCAGGCGACTTCTACTGCGACAAGGACGAGGCCGAGGACGAGTACGAGTACGGACCATTAGCACGATTGTTGAGCTTTAAGACTCCCGATGGCTTACCTTGAGTGTGCCGGTGTGTGGGTACCTGCGCACATTACGACCAGCCATAAAACTAGGGCCAAAAAATATAACCGAGAGCCCCGGCTGACTGGCTCTGGCTTTGGTACTCAATCCCAGCCCGTGCCGCCTAAGTCGGTAAGTTATATCGAGCCAGCCAAAAGTCACGGATAAGTAAAATTCATATTTTTACATCGGCTTATTAATAAAATATAGCCATTTATGGCGGTTGAATTGCAGAAATCGGTCACAATCTGGCCGAGGAAATGGCTTATGAAATTTACTGCAGATTTTAATTTTAAAATTTAAAGCTCCTTTAAATTTTACCATAACTCAACACTGCAGCTTTAAGGGAACGGAAACTAGTTCTTTTAAATTAAGTATGTAAGATGTGACCAATTTGGTCAAGAAAGTTGATATACGGGTTTTTCAGCATTACCCAATACTTTAGATTTTCCTTATCGAAAAAGGAATTCCTTTATTTTTTATTATTAAATAAAATATAGCCTAAAGTAAGTTATAAATTTAAACAATCTGGCCAAGAAAATGGCTTGTACTTTAACATTTTTTTCTATAATTCTGTCGAAGATGTTCTAAAGCTTTAAGTCTAAATTATCGTGTCGTGTAGAGACCCTTTGAGTTAGGCAGTACCCAACACTGAATTTTACCCAACACAAGTAGCCCTGGATTGAATAATTGCTTTGTCATTCACTTTATGACATAAAGTGTCAAACGAAAAATTTTCTTTCTCCTTCATAAACTTGTGCAAATTGGTCATTCCAAAAGCGTTAAGAATGGATCGCAAAAAAGAAAATGGAAACTCTCGACGTGAAATTTTAAATTTATCGTTAGGTAAGAACACACATTTATTTTCAAAAAAAAATTCCCTGCAGACACGATTTTAAAGTTCCTGCACTTTTCTTGCGATTCCGCCAGACGATTATTATAAGCTTCATGTGGCACCTCGACTAGCGTCAACACCGGGGTGTGGGCCATATATGAGACAGCGGCGCCACAACCACCGATCCCAATTCTATGGGAACCAATATTTGGAACAGCGCCCGTTCCGCTACCCGGGCCATCCGAATCCGCTGGCGGACCCCACCAATGTAGACGAGCAATTGAGGAGATTGCGTAACGCGCTAAGCACCTCTGATTCAACACCGTCATTGAACAAAGATGATACTTTAGCAGCAGGAGGCAGCGGCGGGTCAAAGACTAGTACGGCAGTATCGGTGATCGACCTTACCGGCTGGAACGGCGATATGGAAGGAAACGGTTTCCGCTACCCTGGACATCCCAATCCGCCGGCGTCCAAGCAGCCCGCCAATGCTTACGGGGAATTGAAGGGATTGGGGACCGTGCGAAGCGCGTTTGAAGTGAATGGAGCATCGGGCTCGACGTCCACCGCGGAGACCACCTCTGCTGTTACTTTAGCAACAGGAGACAGTGGCGGGTCAAAGACTGGTACGGCAGTATCGGTGGTCGACCTTACCGGATGGAACGGCGATATGGAAGGAAGCGGTTCCCGCGATACAGGACGTCCGAATTCGCCGTCGTCCATGCAGCTTGCCAAAGCATACGATTTATTGAAGATATTGCGTAACGCGCTACGCACCTCTGATTTATGACTGGAGTCATTAAACAAAGATGATACTTTAGCAGAAGGAGACAGCGGCGGGTCAAAAACTGGTACGGCGGTTTTATTTTAGATTCAAACCTTTTTTTTTTTTTTAATAAAATTTGAATTTCTAGAGCTCCGATCTGAACACATTCTAGAATAGGAATGAAAGAGTCGGGGGCCAAAAAAAGGGAGTTACAGGGTTAACATGATGATGTTTGGAATTAAAATTCAATAGCTTATGCCTGTGGTTGAGATTTTTTTTTTAATTCACAACCACACGGCGATTACTTATTATATCTGCAGGAATGAAGGGAAATGGCTGATATTTCCCTGGCCAATGTTTAACAAGAAAAAACTGCTTGAGCTGCTGATATCGCCTCCCATCAATTTTGTTCAATTTAATAAATCTATTCATCGAATCGCAAAATGTTTACTTAATCTTCCCACTGTCATTTGCCATATGCACTTAATATTAAATTTCGTTCCGAGAACGAGAAAAAACCAATCAGAAAAGCTTCAGTTCGCCGCCCAGCACTTTTGCTGATTGTTTTTCATTATGGTGATGGTGACAAATCGAAGTCTTTTCCCATCGCTTTGACCATGTAAAACAAATGATACATCACACAGTTGAGTGCGTATACGTAGGAACAACCTTTATGCACCTTTCGCACAGGCACACAGACAGACCCAGGCACAGGCACTGGCACACACAGTATCTGGAGATAGGGAGAAAGTCGAAGAAGTCAGGATGTTGGACGACAGACGACAAAATAAAAACGAAAAAGATAAATATGTCGTAAAAGTTTTTTATTTGCGTTTTATTTTTTTTGATACAGAAAATGACTAACTTGTTGGCTGACAGACAAGCAGCAAACAGGCAACGCTTTGGGCCAAGAACACGGGGTCAGATGGGCAGGGCCAGGACGAGGAGGTGGAGGCTGGGATAGGGAAAGGGGGAGAGGTTGGGGCAAGGGATGGCCAAGAGCGACGTCTGTCACGCACACACGCCCCAGTCCACCCAGCTTTGACTTGGCAGATGCGGGCGTTGCAGGGCCATTTCCATCTGACCCTCAACCTGGGCGGAGGAAACTTTTTTAAAATAAGCAAACAAAGTACGCACAGAAAAATGTGAGAGTCGGTGATGAGCAGATACTCTTAATTTCTAAGGGTATTTTTTTTATGCCAGCTTACCAAAAATTTAAATAAAATAATTTTTTAGTTATAGTTGTGTTAGTCGATTGGCAACTGCATATCGATAACGTTTTTCTGAAAGCAACCCAGAATTAATATATACACATTATTTTCTGAAATAATCCTGAAATAATATTTCAAACCGTATATGGTTTCTGGTTAAAAAATTATATATTTAATTTAAAAAGAAGAACTATCTAAATTTTTTTTTTAAATCAAGTAAAAGCACAAGCCCCTTAAAGTAATACGAGTTCTTTAGAAAAATATCCCTTCACCGCATTATTCATTCATGCGATTATCCCTGTTTAATACTCGATACCCTTTTTCGCATTTAAAGAGTATGTCAAAGAGCAAACTACACAATAAAGTGTCGGCCGCCATCGCCATCGCCATAGCCCACTTCCACTGTCTCCTCGTTGGCCGGAAAAGCCTTTGCCGCCATCATCTTCCTTCGAGGGAAGCAGCCCGGGCGGGGTCGAGGGCCACGAAAAGGTCAACAGGAGCCAGGCCAGAGCCGGGACTGCAGGCTGGTGGCGCCAGACCGCAAGTTTTTATTACGCATATAATGCCAGCGATTTGCCCAAAAGAGAGTGCGGGCGGCAGTGTGGCGGCGTAGTGGAGTGGAGGCACTGAGGTCTGCATCATTTTTATACTTTTAATTTTTTATGCCGGTGACACAGTGACATGAAATGTCAACGAGCTGAAAAACAAACAGCAGCCGGGGCAGGACCAAAGCAAGCCAGCAAGAAAGTCCTGGACACGGCCAGGATAAATATGATGAGAGTCCGCTGGGAATGTTGTCCTGCTAGTTGAAGCTAACGCCGACTGCGCAGCTGGCGTCGGGTAGCGCAGCAGGAAAATGCTGAAAAACGTAGCATACATTTGGGAGTCGTTGCTTCACAGTTTTCTCCTCTCCTCCTATCCCGCTCCTCCCCGTTCGTTCTTTATTTCTGCCTCGCTCGCTCTATCTCTGTCGAAAATTTGCGAGTTTGTACGATAATAACATATGTAAGTTGCTGCTTTGTGGATGCGGCTGTGTGTGTGCGGGTGTGCTTGCATACATATGTGAGCATGTCGGTTTAAAATTTTAGCCCCATAAGCGCCTCCCGTTTATGCTGCTGCAGTGGGAGGCAAAACGTTTTTCGCGCTCAAAAAAGAATACAAAAACGGAAAAATTTTAAAGCCGCTGCTCAGACGGGGATCAGAACTTTAAATGAACTTAGCCAACTGTGAGCGTGTATTTAACGCATCCGAACGCAAAAAAAGCTTGTCGGATGTGTCTTCATGCCAGAGTAGGTGTGACCCGGGCCGCATGTGTGGGCTGGCCTCTTATGTGCGCATCCCTAAGATACATTACACTTAATCGGCGTCAAGTCAATTAAGGTTACGCAAAAGTTCACGCAAGCCGGCACACAAACACATACGCACAAAGGGGATTTGCCATGAAGGGCTTGCTTTATTTTTAGTTAAATGCTTCAAGGGTGCCAGACGGCAGGGGATTAGTGACTTTTTGGCAAAACAAGATTAAATGACTAGTGCAGAGGAATTTTAAGCATACAATGTATCTTTAAAGGGGAGATCATTTGACTTAGTTTGGACTGAACTATAAAAATTGTTTGCTCTTCTCAAAAATACACATATGTATATACATATGAAAACTTCATTCTTCTGATTTCGACCCACCCTGAACCCAAGCCGATTTGCCGGCAACCGTTTCAGGCCATATCTCACACCTTGACAGATGCAAAACGATCCATCTTAGGGACTGGAGCTGCACATATGCAACGGATTGGGTTTTATGAAACCATTAGCAGAGCAGCACAAACTTTAAGATACATTTATCTTGCGAGGCGTTTTAAAAAGAAACTTGGCCTCAAACGAGGTTGCCTCGCCACCGATTGCCTGGCCTTATAAATCACACTCACACATACATATGTTCGCTAGGACTCACTCACACAGATACACCTACGCAGACAAGCACTCACACACCAACTTGGCAAACACAGTTTAGCCAGTTCATTCAAGTGTCGTTTATCGCTTTTGCTATTTTGGCAGCGCCTTCCGTGAAACTGCTTCTGGTCATAAATATGCCAATTTGGCAAAGCGACCTCCAACGCCCCCGGCCCCACTCCAATCCACTTCAGTCGCCCGCCCACTCTGGCGGGCCCTAACAGCCCTAACAAGGTGATTTCCCCGGTACTCGATTGAAGTCAGCTATCCAGCTAGTCAGTCAACCAGAGTCAGTCAGAACAATAAAAATAAAATTTATTACTCAAAGTTTATGGCATGGCAATAAATGTATCTTTTCTGCTGAGTATCTCGGTATCTGTATCCATAAATATGCACCCATTCGCACCTAAGAGCGGGGGCTGCCACATGTGGTGCACATCACACCCCCCAGCCACCCACTCCCCCTTTATAGTTACCTGCTGTTGAAATTATTATGTTGCCAGCCCGTATCCCCGCGGGACGCCACCTTCATGCCATTTCCAAAATCCCTCGCACCCTTCCGGCCAAGCCTCGAGTACAACCCTTGATTCAAATCCCATAAAGTTGTCGAGTTGCTGTTGCTGTGATAGTTTGTACTGCTGGCCGTTTTATGTTGGCTGGAGCTGTTGGCAATTGCCGCATCATTAATCTTACTCACGGAAACGGCGCTTAGGTCAAAGTTTTGAGTTTGGGTAATTTATCTTCGACTTGCCGCAATTATGTGTCAGGGTGGCGGGAGGCGGACGGAGGCAGCGTGGCAGCAGTAGCGGTTTGGCGGCAAAAAAAACTAGACAATTTTCCGCCGTATGCTGACACCTTCTTTGATTTAAGTCCCAGCAGCAATCACCGCGCCGCACCCCACCTGAACTTGAAACCTGATACTCCAAACTTCCGTCTTGAGCGGAGCGGTCTCGAAAGGGCTGCTCTAATAATTCGCGGACTAAATAATTTAGCAGCAATTTCGCGCCCGCGGCACTAAAATTAAATTGAAGTGTTTACGGAAAACACATGAATTGCTTATGAACGGCAAGTGCCGAACTATGGCCGGGCTGTACGGACACAAAGCCGCAGGGGGGTGTTGCAGGAGACACGGATCCTGGGGCACGAGCGTGTCATTTGTGCGGTGGGCTTGGTCGGCGGTCCTCCAGTGCGTGTGTTCTAGTGTGTCGTGTCACGGCCTCTTGAATGTGTGTATTTAGTGCTTATCAAGCAAATGACAGTGCACAACCAGAACCAGAAAGTTGAGGCCGACAAACGTGTGATGACCCAGCAACCCGATCCCATTGCACAGTGTTAAAAGAAGGTAAATAGAAGTAAGGAAATACCTTTCTAAGGTTAGAGAATAATAATTCATTTTCTAGAAAAGTTTGCCAAAGAATTTTAAAGTCTTGTAGCAGACTGAATTGGATTAAGATCTAGTTTCATATTTTTCAAAGTGAATTTACTGAATAAAATAATAAAATATAATATTTTCTAAAAGAAATCAAAAAGAGCAAGATAGAGCCTACGCCCTGTTCCCTGAAATATTCCAGATTATCCAGCAACTTCATTTCATATTACGCATACGCCCGGTTGCTCAAAGACTCCATAACAAAGAAAACTTTTAAAACACTTATATATCTGTCTTAAAAAAATATCCAGTTAGTTTGATAATGAATACTATTTGTAAGGTGTTAAAGGATTGGAGAATAATTGGAGTGACTCAAGCTGGGAGTGATGGGACCTCGATTAATTATTCCCTGTTTTTAGGCCAATTTGGACACTGTTGCTATTATTCTCCGTCCACATAGCCGCACAATTAATTGCGTAAACAAAACGCGACGGTCGGGCGGGCATGGGCATTGAATTATTCAAATCATCTATAATTACAGCTGGCAACTCGCTCGATTGCCTGCCTTCCTGCCTGCCAG